CTAAGCCCAAAGCAAGTCATTCTCAAATGAGTACTTTCTTGCCATGTGCCAGTACAATGTAGATCAACGTAGTACGACCATGTAGGACCATCCCCGACCTTGCGGCATTCCATAGCAGCATTCCATAGCAGCCAGCATCCGTCTTTCTTGTCTCTCATGTCTCCCACTTCCAAATGGCAACTCTGAATCAGGACGATTGCCCACAAGGAGCTGAGCGAGTGGATTGTCCTGTGCCTGGCTCTGCGTCTGGGTAGGGCCGAGATCTGTATCCGGTCTGCGCAGCAGCTACGCTTTTCCAGGCGAGTGACCCGCTGACGACAGCTGCCCAGCCTGTGCTGTGCAACGTCGTGGCCAAGACCAACACCATCTGACAAACAAGCCGGCCCGCCTTCCGTTATGGACTGAGAACTGGGGCACTGAGTACTTATCTTATGAGTGCGGTGTCCAAACCTCATGGGCGAGCTCCATTCCCTAGTGCTTGGAGCTTCCTTCGCTTCAGATATCAGTTCTTGCATCTTCACGTCGAGACACGGTGTGGAACGGTGGTCTGGATCTTCGATGAATTTCGACCAGATTGTTTGGGTTGTGGAGGGCGGCTAGGTTGTCTCGGTCTTTGGTGCTGGCATGCGCCCATGCAATGTCGGACTGTCACGGGATGCGTGTGAAGCATCCATCAAGTGAAGCGCATGCGATCACAAGGTTCACGGAAGTTTGGGTCTGATCGACTCGGGCTGATCTTGCTATGCCACTATGCCTTTCACGCCCAGAGTGATGGCACCATTGTTACATGGGCTGACACGTTGAAAGGCAGGACCTCCAGCAGGGTCAAGTTGCCAGCTGACGGATGTGGATGTAGTCTTGGAGGTTTGCGTTGGCATGTGGACGGGACAGCGGGTGATGCTCGAGACGCCAGCAGTGTCAGTTTGAGTTGTATATACTTTTTCGCCTGACCAATGTACAAGAGCCCGTTTGGCTTCTCGAGGCTGCCTGGAGCAAAACGTCTCTGGGCGTTCTGGGAGGTGGAATGGAATGTTCAGTATCCTTAAGACAAGGAAGGTGTTTGTTCTCCGTTGTTCGGGATCTAGGCCTACGAGTATCTTCTGGTGTGTACCTGTGAATGGAAACACGGCCAGCCGAGACCATCAATCTTTGCTTAGGCTCATTTCCAAGGATGATTTGCTAAAGAAACGTCCTCGGTCTTAGCTCATCAAGTGCAAGGTCCCCACTTCACTCTGCCCTCTCTGAGACTGGGGCTAGAGAGCGGCACTATACGGCACTCTGATCAACAGGCGAGACCGCAGCCGTCACCTCGATCGAGGCCTTCTTAGGAAATATGGAGGGCTTAGCCTTTGGATGCCCATTGCCAGCTGCTGTAGATAAAAGGGGATCAGTGAGGGAACAGAGTCTGCAACCTGCGGAAACATGAGTACCAACACGAGCCTGCTCTGCTGCCTGGCGCACCCCAGTGGTGGGCCCAAGTTCATAAAGATTCCTTGCAGGTCCTCCTCTTCTGGGTCCGTGTCCTCCGCCGAAGGCGGTTGGGCAGCTCCGCGGCGCAAACCGGTCCGGAGCTTCAGCTGAGTGATCGGATGCCATTCGGCATTCGTCCGTCCATCTCTAGCAGGGAATTTTCAAGTATTTTCAGCAGTGACTGATTGGATTGAGCAAGCATGCGGCCAGTTCTCAAATTGTGTTCGTCGCGCTTTGGTACCCCAAGATAAAGGGTGCCCCAAAGGCCCCCAAACTTTGCGAACTTGACCACTCAACACAGATCACACGAGAGAAAGGCGACTCCAAGTGCCTGAACGTCTGATATCCAGTGAGGTTCGAGCCGTGCGTGAGGATGAGCTGCCATCACAGGCAGTTGTGTCTGCATTCTGGAGAGAGAGAGAGAGAGAGAGAGAGAGAGAGAGAGAGGCGGCCTCCTCTTTCGGGGGGAGGCCATGCGTGCGGGAGAGAGAGAGAGAGAGGGCCCTGTGTCACACCTCATGGGTTCGGTTGAACTTGCACTTGCCCCTTCAACCGGCCCCTTCGGGGGTCATACGCACAGCAAGCAAGCAAGAGAGAGAGAGGGAGAGGGACAGGGGCCTTCCCTTTGGGGGGACACCTTCGCTGGCTAGAAGAAGAAGAAGGGACAGGGGCCGGGGTGCCCCTTTACGGGGTGCCCTAAAGCCTGCAGCAGAAGAAGAAGAAAGAAGAGAAAGAAGAAGAAGAAGAAGAAGAAGAAGAAGAAGAAGAAGAAGAAAGAAGAAGAAGAAGAATCAGAAGAATCAGAAGAATAAGAAAAATAATAAGGAGAAGAGGAAAGGGCCCTAAAGCGTGCAGAAGAAGAGGAAGAAAAGACAAACGAAGAGATAGCCAGAGCAGGCGATGGGAAAGTTGGCGGAGCTCGGCGACCTTCCTGCGCTCCAAGAAGCCTTATCCCGCGGAGACGCGGCCTGGGCCTTAGAAAGCAAGAGCTAAGGTAAAAAGGGATGGTGATGTTACATTAGAATACATCGTGTTATGTGTGACTTTATGACATTCTGCACACAGTTGGGGAAAGCACTTTGAGCACTGATCCGGGATGTCTCTTCTTGTGTGACCCGCACGTTCCAAAGAACGCATGCAACACACCTGGCCGAGCGCGACCATCTCGTATCTAATCATGCACATGTATTTGCTCCCATCATGCCGCGTGCCAGCAGCCAGGACGTGAACTGGCGGCGCCCAAAAGATGGCAATGCTGCGCTTCACCTTGCGGCAGAGTGGGGACATTTGGAGGTGCATGAATAAGAAATCGATGTTGCCACGCTAGTTCAGAGGCCCCAAACGGTCCTCAAAATCTTCCCAACCCAAACTCTCCTCCCTCTTTCCCCCCGACCGTCAAGCCAGGAACAGTGCTCACGAGTCACCTAGCCTGAGTCAAAAACGCACAAGACCTGAGTCAGAAACTCCCCGGGCCCAAGTCGAAACCAGAAAAGACCCCTCCCCCTCAGTAGACAACTTGAGGCGTGATGCAGACATCACATCACCGCAAGTCCACCGAAAATGCGAAGCGACTTCTGAGCCATGAGCGCAAAACAACACGTGCAGTTTGCCTCAGACAGGGCCCACAACAAAAGGGCTTCGCTTGATGAGCTGTTTAGGGTCTTAGGGTTTGGGGTTAAGGGTTTAGGGTTGAGGTTTGTAGGATGTCAGGGCTTTAGATGGACACGCTCGATTCCTGTTATCCCCGTGCCTTTGTCTGACCCGATCTCTCTGGCTTTCGGACTGGGACCGCCCAATTTACAATTCATTTTCCGGACTCGACGATTTACGACTCATTTTCCGGACTCCACGGTCACCCGAGGAAACGGCTAGGACATGGGAACGTCCAAACTAAGAAGTCCATAGTGCATTCTTGTATGTTGAAGTGAGAGGGCAGGAGAGTGGTGGGATTTGGATCCCGAGAAATTAGCCAGTTCAGGGCCGGGATTTCCAAAGCAGCCTCACTGTTGAAACGAAAGAATTCCAACCCCACCTCAGATACCTCGGCCTGAGGAGCATCCAAGTGAGGCAAAACGAACGAAACGGGGTGTGATTTTTTGGATGAATCGGTATGTAACAAAGTTGCGTCTCAGTCGCCTCTCAATCGTTGTTTTTGCATCCTCATAGTCTTGGGTCTGGCAACATAGGTTCGACTCGGTCGGAATCTTCATATCTCGCAACCGCTAACGATCTATAAGTTCCAATCAATTGCTTGGCTTGCAACTGTTGCTTGCACACAGATTGGCTGCAGACGGAATCCAGGAAAATTCGATGGAGTTCATGCATGATGTTTACGTGCAATGCTCGCCATTCGCCATTCATCAAGAGACGGCTTCTAAAGGTCCTTTGATGTTGGCTTTATTTAACAACACGGACAAGCGACTGATGCCCTGTTCCCTACAAACGACACCCCGCCGGCGGCGACCCCAGGGAACCCCCTAGAGGCCTTGTCCAAAACCGCAAGGACACCAGCAGTTGTTGGTTTTTTCACCGTGAGGGAGACGGAGACCTCAACCTTGGAGCAGCATCGCAGAAACGGATGGGGCAGAAGCCTGAGGCCGCCTAGGCACCCCCCACCTGGGGTCCGGAAGCCTCGGCAGATTTGCAAGAGGACATCCATGAAAGATACCGGCTCTCGTCCTTGCCCTCCCAAACCTTTCTCGCACCTTTAAAGGATCGTACCCCCAACATTGCTCAACTTGAAGTCCGTTGCAGGTAGTGCAACTGCTCCTGGACAGCAGGCGCGAGTAGTCTTACCTTAGAAGGCTTCGAGCTTCGAACGGTGGAGTTTCCTCCATGAAGTCTCAGAAGGTTGTAGCCGAAGGGATTCTCAGATGCAAGCCAACAACAACCCTCAATGTCCCTACGCCCTCACTCGGCAGGGCGGACCCTGAGCTCCACAACAACTACTCGATGTCCCCTTTCGCTTTGGCCGCCCACGGGAGCGACGTGGAGCATCTCTTGGCCAAGGCCCTTTGTCGAGCTTCGGCTTCTTGTTGTTGTGACATGTCGTGATGCATAAGATGCACCTGACGAAGGGCATCTCAACTAGGTCGCACTAGGTCGAACTGGGTCCGCATGGATACGAGGTGGTACGGGGAACCCAAAAGGAAATCTGCACTACAGCCCTGGAGATTCGATCTGCAAGCGCAAGCTCCTCGGGAGCGCTATCCGCTGCTATCCATGCTCCCCAGAATCCAAGGCTCAAGGTTTGCTCGAGCATGCCTGCCGCTCTGCCTTACTGTGCCTTTCTTTAGCTTGTAGCTTTGCTTCCCTCGCGAGTGTATCGCAAGTCCTGCGTTTTTCGGCAGGTAACAAAGCCTCTGGCGGAAGAGCGGCGCTACGCCATGAAGATGTAAAAAAGCGACGAGTGCTGCCGGATGTACGCAGGATGTTGCATTCGACATGCAGAGTAGGCTGTGTCTATGTCGGCAGACTGTTGCAGCGACATGTATTTAGGCCCTCCTATGCCTTCCTATGCTTTTCTCGAGGCCTCACGCTTTCAGGTGCTCCAACCGAGCGCAGATGCAGAGGTGGTGCTGAGATGCTCTGAAGAATGTGCTGGGCATGCAACATTCATCATGTGCTGCTTGCCCACAAACAGCTGCGATGCAGAGGACCGACCCAGGAGTCTGGAAAAGGCAGCCAATGGCGATGTCTTACTTGCGTGTGAGAACTGTGGCGAGGCCGCAGGCGCTGACGGGAGCCGAACAGATGCGCCACGTCAGAGCCTCACATGGCTTGACAAAAGTCCTCGCGATGGCTTTTTCAAGCTTGAGACAAACACGTAGACAAACGAGAGGCGCTCCCAACCACTAACGTAGATGAACACATCAACGAGAGCTTCGGCACAGGGCATGGTCGCCGAAGCCGCCAGCGAGTGGGTTCAGGCATTTTCGGCAAAGTAGCTCGCAGTTCTTGATAACTTCCTTGGCCACTTTTCTATTCTGTCCGTCAGCACAGCACCGGCTCTTGCGTAGCCCGAAGACCTTACAGCCTTCGGTCCCCGTTGCCCTGGCAGGTGCTTGGAGTGCAGACCCTGAGACAGTACAGCCTGAGCGCGACTTTGCGTGGGCCCTGGAGCTCATGGGACTCATGGAAGAAACAAAGTGCCTTCCTGGATCGACCCCTCAGACTGTTCAGACTCTCTTTCACAATGTGCTGAGGTCTATTACGTCGACCGGAAGAGCTGGGATGAGGAGTCCGAGATCGACACTAAGCGGGTTCAGGCCGAGTTCCAGACTCGTCAGAGTTCTGTCCAATGGGCAAGAAGCAGAAGGAAGCCTCCGCCCATTTGCTCACCGTCAAAACAAGTCGCTGCAATGGTCCTGGCGTCATCCCGCGCTTCGCAGGCCCGGTGGCAGGGTCGCGACAAGGACCGCTGGGAAGAAGAGCGGCGCAAGGAGCGCAGTGGCGCAGTGGAGTGGTTGGGTATGCTTCCGGGGCCGCATGGTTTTGCACGATGTTGGCCATGCGGATGCAAGCAAGGCGAGCTTTGCAAGGCGCTATGCTGCGCTGTTCCTTCCGATGCCTCCCCGAAACCTGTATCAGCTTTCGGAATCGTAGATTCATATCGCAGGAGAAGATGCGCCAGGACGAGCAGCAAATGGCGGAGCGCATTCGCAGGGAAGCTTTCGGTGAGGCAGGAACTGCGAACTGCGAACTGTGTGCATGTCTTGATCTCCGGATCCATGCAGTAGTGGTACTCGTAGGGCTGGAGTAATCGGCGGCTGCCCCTATGTGAAACGTAGAAGGCTTCGGCTTATTTGAGAAAAGGCTTGAGCCTTCCATGCTTCCAGGCGTCCAGGCTTCCAGGCAAGCGGAATTTCAAAAACCGAAGCCACGCATGAAACTGTCTTAAACATGTGCTCACGAGACGAGGTCCAAGCGCAGTCTGAGGAGGAGGAGGACTTTTGTGAGAAGACTGTGCCGAGACATATGGCAGTGTTGCTTGAGACTGTTTGGGTGGCCCATGAGACATGTTAGAGTTTGTTGTTCCTTGATTTGACGCCTGTGAGGATGTTGACGTGGAAGAGCATGAGCCAGGCAGTCTTTCGCGGACAGCGGACAATCACTATACAATTGCAAGATCCTGTAGAGCATCTAAGGTTAGCAATTTTTAAAGGATGTTTGCACTCTTCCCACAACAACTTCCCCCCCCCAGAAACCTGGCGACCGACGACAATCGCAAGGCGATGACGAAGGGCCAGTGGTGCCCCTGCCGCGGCGAAAGGCTTGGAACTGAAACTCTGAAGTTTCCCTAGGAACCTTCGATTAGTCGTCTGGAGATGCGGCCTGCTGAGCCAGCAAATCCGAACGCTGAAGGTGCAGGTTATCCCGATTATCCTCAAGACTAAGAGCCATGGCCCAAGTGATGGGCATGGAAGCCAACGATGGTAGCCCATGAGTGTAGGTGGTGGTGGGGCGGTGATAGAACCAATATAGGGCAGTGCTTTCCGCACGGCTCCGAGCGCTCTGCATGTCCAGGGCTCTGTGCTGTCAGCTGTAAGTACACAGCCATCGCACAAAGATACTTGCACAGTGTAAAGTAATGTAAAGTAGCACTTTCCGGTTAGATGCAGATGCAGGTGTGAGCCAGTTCGACATGCTCATGGAGGAGATCGACAACGTGAAAGCCTCACGAGGACGAGGGATTGTTGAGAGTCATCTCTCTTGTGCTCTGCTCCGCTTGAATGCTTTGAGCCATGCTTGCCCGAGGTTGGAGAGACTTGCCGGGCAAAATTGCAGTTGTTGGTCGGAGCATCCGTGATATCACACGCCCAACTCGCTAGTGATCTTTGGAGTGAGCAGCTACAGCTAGAACCCATTGATGGACGTAGCCAAAGGCCTGCTTGCGTTATCTTCCCTCGGTGCCCAGGTTCAGGAGACGTATGGGGTACGAATCGTCATCGTGCATGGAGGCAATCTGTCATTTTTTTCAGATGCGCTGGACCACTGGGCACATATGTTGCTTGAGGTTTGGCAACCCACTTGGTGCTAAAATGGGTGCTTATGGACTGTGGGATGCTTGAGATTTCTGTTTGAGCGAGGCCTTGGGCCCGTCATCCCCAAGGCCGGATGCCCAGCTGAAAGCAGAGACGTGTACTGCCACAAGACAGTCCGCGAGAGAGTCCACAGGAGAGGCAGAGTCGTGTTCAGTTCGCCTCTTATTCGCGCGCATGTTCGTCTTCTTTATCCTTCTACTTTACCGACATGCTTCCGACTTTAAAGATGCTAAGAGATTGGTTTGAAAGAATTCCCTATAAACACCCCTTGTTTGATTGAATCAGGACATTGTGCACGCGGAGGTGGAGAAACGCCGCTGACTTACAATCGGCGGCGCTGGAAGGATTAGTTCAGGGATTGAAAGAGACAGAACACGACGAAGGCCACGGGCGCCTTTGCATCTGCTTTGAAGCTGTTTTAGCTTAGCCCCACAGTCCTCACATTGCTAGGTTTTCAACTCCTAGCCTTGGATGGTTTTCAGTGTCGCTCTTCCGCAATGGCGAGAGTGGGTGCTGCAGCTGCGAGCGTTGACGATGAGCCCTCAGGCAGCAGCTGTCTCCGCTTAGACCGCTTGGACATGTCAGACTGCTTGCAGAATGATTCCTTTCAAGATGCTTGAACATCTTGTGTCGCACAAGTGAAAACAGCAATGCCAATTCAGAAAGTTGCAGACCGAAATCAGAACGCATAGGCGTATGCTTCCGAGTAGGGAAAAGCATATGAGGGAGGTCTGCCAACGCAATTGAAACGACTGCGGCGACCACTCCGGAGTCTGCGGGGTTTTGCAGTTTTCTTCTTTCTTTACGTTTTGTAACGTTCGGGATGTGCCCGTTACGGATATGCGGAGGTTCTTAGTTTCCTGATTTCGACGACCGACAGATGCTTGTCATTGTTTGTGCTGATTTTGTCTTGGATCCTGCCATCCGGGTGCTTACTGGCAACTCGTGGTCACTTCTTCCAAGTGCATCTACATCTTCGGCCGTTTGCTCATTCCCAGTTCCAGGTTGTTTTCGGTATTTTGGATTTGGAGTTTTTCTTTGCGTCCGGAGACGAATTCCAGAAGAATAACTAATCGCGAGGTTGCGCATGCTGGACGTCTGCTTCCCGTCCAGATCTTCGCTGGATGTTGAAGCTGTTGCTGTAGATGCAGCTTGTGTCAACGACGCGGCAGCCATCTTTTCCGAGAATGGTTTCGTGGTCCTGCGTGGCGCTCTCGCACAACACCAAGTCGAAGAAGTGCTTGGGGCGTGTGCACGTCTTCATGAGAACGTGCAGCGGGTCGACCCTGAGGGCCTGGGAAATCGGAACCCGCAGAGGTACTCGATGGGGAATCTGACTCCTTCCAAGAGCTGCATGCACCTGTCGCCTTTTCTGCACTTGGTGGTGCAGCCCTCTGTCCTAGCACTCATGGATAAAATCTTTGGAGGTGTTCAGGAGCGCGGCAAGTGTCAGCATGGCTTCTTGGTTTCCGGTGCTGGTGGCGACTACTGCACCGGCTCTACATGGGAGTTTCAGAAGCTTCACTCGGACATGCGGCCGGCAAGGCCTCTGAAAGGCAAGGGCAGCAGCAAGAGCAAAATGAAGACTGCCCCTGTGCATCGCAAGGATTTGCCTCCAGTAGTCTGCGTGAACTATGCTGTACAAGATCTCACTGCATACAACGGTCCAATGAGGATTGTACCCTGGAAGGAGATGGCTCAATATTGCCAGGACGAAGCTCCAAATCATCCTCTGCCCACAGTGCATGGCCTGAAGAATTGAGAATACAGAGCCCTTCATTCCCCTTGATATCTCCGCGACTCTTCACTTCTTTGTGACTCCTTGCGACTTGTGCAGGACAAGCCCTGGATGGATGCCCCGGAACTGCCCGACGAGCTGCAGATGCGCCCTGACTGGCTGCGTTCAAAGATTTTTCCTTTGAAGGTGGGCCGTGTTGCTGGACTTCAAGTTGACACAGTCCTCCCGTCCCTCCCCTCTCGCCATGCTTGTGCCATACTCGCCCACGCACCTTTCGTGCAGCGTGCCAGGCCGGGGACTGCCTCGTTCGTTTCTTGACTCCACTTACCAAGTTTGCAGTGGCTCCTTGTCCTGGATATGGAGGCTGTCATGATTATTGCATAGGAGATGTGCCAGCTAAGGAGATATCCGAGTCTGGCATGGAGGGTGTCCAAACTTGAGTGGGGAAGCTCGTTATCTGCCTGCACTACAAGTCATCTCACAAGAGTACTTTACCTTTCTGCAGATGACTGGTCCGAAGCAGGAACCCACACTGCCGCTGAAGCTGTACCTGACTCTACCAGAGTCTGTTGCAGTTCTTTGCCAGCATGCTACTAGCAACGGTGACAGCGCAGTGGATGCGCATGTGGATGACTACCAGTGGCTGAAGAGCAAGGACAAGCTGCAGCAGCCAGCACGTGACGCCTACTATCTGCCCTTATATGAGTTGATGAAAGATGAGCATCAGCTGGTCATTGAGCCTCCTCTCAACCAGTTGCTGTAACATGAGGTAGGTTCGAGATATTATTAATCACAACGAGCACAGCTTGTTGTTGACTATGTTGGCCATGGATCCGACTCACTGTGGTGTACATCAAAGAATACTGCGAGATGCAGCAAGGGACTCCATGCAAAAGCCGCATTCTAAACCGCCAGTCCGAAGAACGGATGTGAAAAAGGTATGGAAGCTTGATGGAGCTTGGCCATGGTCAACCGTCTTTGTGCACGCTCGTTTTTTGGAAGAGATTTGGCCCGTTTTGGTGCATCCCCAGACTTCGATTTGCTATTTAAGCACACCTGGTATAATTTCGTACAGCTAGCTAAAGTCAGCAGTTTTCTGCAGGCTTTGACTGCAACTCACGTTTTCCGACGCCATGGTAAAGTTGCGAAAGCTCACCTCCAGAAGCTTTCGTCTAAGACTTAGCCCTGCGGGGGAACGTTCTGGGGGTTGGTTTGAGGGTCATGATCGCGGTGTAGGTACGGCACAAGTCGTCTTCCTCGTGTCCTTGTCATTGTCGCTCAAAGTTCGGGAGTGTGTGCGTACGTGGTTGGGTGGGTGGGTGGGTGGGTGGTGTGTGGGAGAGTGTTTTTTTTCCCGAAAGCATCGCGAAGGGTTCTTCCGTGCGGAGCCCGCTGACCCAACAACATAGAGTGAAGTACATAGAGTGAAGTGCATAGAGTGAAGTGCATAGAGTTAAGTGCATAGAGTCAAGTGCATAGAGTCGAGTGCATAGAGTTAAGTGCATAGAGTGAAGTGCAGAGAGTCAAGTGCATGGAGTTAAGTACATAGAGAGAAGTGCAGAGAGTCAAGTGCATAGAGTTAAATGCATAGAGTCAAGTGCATAGAGTGAAGTGCATAGAGTGAAGTGCATAGAGTGAAGTGCATAGAGTGAAGTGCATAGAGTCAAGTGCATAGAGTGAAGTGCATAGAGTCAAGTGCATAGAGTTAAGTGCATAGAGTGAAGTGCAGAGAGTCAAGTGCGTAGAGTTAAATGCATAGACTCAAGTGCATAGAGTGACGTGCATAGAGTGAAGTGCACAGAGTGAAGTGCATAGAGAGTCAAGTGCATAGAGTGAAGTGCAGAGAGTCAAGTGCATGGAGTTAAGTACATAGGGAGAAGTGCAGAGAGTCAAGTGCATAGAGTTAAATGCATAGAGTCAAGTGCATAGAGTGAAGTGCATAGAGTGAAGTGCATAGAGTGAAGTGCATAGAGTGAAGTACATAGAGTCAAGTGCATAGAGTCAAGTGCATAGAGTCAAGTGCATAGAGTGAAGTGCATAGAGTGAAGTGCAGAGAGTCAAGTGCGTAGAGTTAAATGCATAGAGTGAAGTGCATAGAGTCAGTGCATAGAGTGAAGTGCATAGAGTGAAGTGCATAGAGTGAAGTACATAGAGTGAAGTGCATAGCGTGAAGTAGAGTCAAGTGCATAGAGTTCAGTACATAGAGTGAAGTGCATAGAGTCAAGTGCATAGAGTGAAGTGCGTAGAGTGAAGTGCATAGAGCAGATTTCACGAGATTTTCGTAGAATTCAATAGAATTCAGGAGATATGCGTAGAATTCAGTAGACTTTCTTACCCAGTCCTACATTTCTTAACTAAAATTTAACATTACTCTCTTTAAAGCGGCGGGGTGGGTTGACGTCGCCAACCCTCTGCGGGTTTCGGCTTGGTCGCGGTGCTAAAACCGTCGTGTTTGTACGTTTCTTGGTATGCGCGGACAACCCTTTGCGGGTTTCGGCGTGGTCGCGGTGCTAAAACCGTCGTGTTTTTACGTTTTTACGTTTCTTGCAACCCTCTGCGTGTTTCGGCGTGGTCGCGGTGCCAAAACCGTCGTTTTTTTACGTTTGGTTCTGTGCGCGGACAACCCTCTGCGGGTAATCGCCGGGTCGCGGCGCTATAACCATCGTTTTTTGCACATCTTTTCGTGCGCGCGACAACCCTCTGCGGGTTTCGGCGTTGGCGCGGTGCCAAAACCGTCGTGTTTTTGCGTTTTTGACATACAAACGCAACCCCTCTGCGGGTTTTTTGAAACGTCGTGTTTTTACGTTTTTTGACATACAATCGTAACCCCTCTGCGGGTTTTCGCGTGGTCGCGGTGCTAAAAGTGTTTTGGCGTTTTTTTCGACTTTTGTAGTACAGACGTAGTACGCCGGGGACTTCCGTGGCTAGTACGCCGGGGACGCCCGGAGCTACCGTGGCTGGGAAGTCGACTTTTGTAGTGCAAACGTAGTACGCCGTGGACGGCCGGAGCCTCAGTAGCTGGAAAGTCGACTTTTGTAGTACAAACGTAGTACGCCGCGGATGCCCAGAGCTTCCGTGGCTGGAAAGTCGACTTGTGTAGTACAGACGTAGTACGCCGCGGACACCCGGAGCTTCCGTGGCTGGAAAGTCGACTTTTGTAGTACAGATGTAGTACGCCGGGGACTTCCGTGGCTGGCAAGTCGACTTTTGTAGTACAGACGTAGTACGCCGCAGACGCCCGGAGCTTCCGTGGCCGTGGAAAGTCGACTTTTGTAGTACAGACGTAGTACGCCACAGACGCCCGGAGCTTCAGTGGCTGGAAGTCGACTTTTGTAGTAAAATGTAGTACGCGGGGACGCCTGGAGCTTCCGTGGCTTGAAAGTCGACTGTTGTAGTACAAACGTAGTACGCATTCCGCGTGCGCGACAACCTCGCAAATAGCATGGAAGGGGGGTAGCATGGAAGCAGAATTCCGGACATAGCATGGAAGCGGAAATCCGCGTGCGCGAAAACCTCGCAAATATCATGGAAGCGGAATTCCGCACGCTTGAAAATGTCGCAAATAGCATGGAAGCGGAATTCCGAGCGCGCGAAAACCTCGCAAATAACATGGAAGCGGAATTCCGCGTGCTTGAAACCTCGCAAATAGCATGGAAGCGGAATTCCGCATGCGCGAAAACCTCGCAAATATCATGGAAGCGGAAATCCGCATGCTTGAAAGCCTCGCAAATAGCATGGAAGCGGAATTCCGGACATGCGAAAACCTCGCAACTAGCATGGAAGTGTCCTTGGACTATGAGCTTGGATTTCAGAGCGACTGCCGATGATGCTCATGGCTGACGTCTCTCGTGTTAGATGTTTTTGTCTTTTCTTTCATAGCTTCGCGTGGATAGGACGTGCACAGCCGAGTCGGGTGCATGCAAGTGAAGTCCATACGGTTCAAGTCCGTTTACTTCAAATCTATTGAATGCCAATGAAGTGTATAGAGTTGACCACAAGTGCATGGCATTCAACTCAACACACTTGAATGCCACGCAGTTCAAGTGCATACACGTCCAGTATACAAGTGCAGTATACAAGTGAGTATGCAACCATATAAGTGCATACACTTTAAGTGCATACACTTGTCCAAGTGCATGCAGTTCGAGCGCACGGAGTCATCGGGCCAATCGTCTTCTAGTTTTTTTTGTGTGTGTATGTGTGTGTGTGTGTGAGGGGTGTGTGTGTGAGAGGGGGGGGACATGTGTGTGTGTGTGTGTGTCTGTCTGTCTGTCTGTGAGGAAGTCTTGCATGTGCTCGCTGGGCGACACCCAGAGTCCGTCGAGTCCATCCCTGGCCAAAAGCAGATTCCGGGCAGTGCAAGAGATCTGCTGTTGGCGATGGCCGCGAGGGATGCTAGGCAAGCCGCCCAAACCGCCAAAGCCACACTCAAAAGTTTTCCAGGCATGGGTTCTTTTGGTATTCACATATCCGCATGTGCTCACGCGCTGTGCTCACAACTGAGTTTCCGCGCAAGCCAAAGTCACAGGTTGGAAGCGATTCTGAAAAAGCTGCCGCTGGGCCTGCTGGGGCCGCTGCCGGACAAGTGCCAGGTTGAGCAGAAGTCGCTTGGCTCTAGTTGCGGTGGACTGTGGCAAAGTTTCTTGCAAGCTTTTCCTAAGTGGCCATGGAACCGTAAATGGGAAGCAATGGGGCCTTCATGTGACTTGCATACTGTTTACATGAGGCGCCGCTGGCAAAAGTGAGCCAGGATACTGCACAAGCCCAGATCTTTTCGTGGAGAGCGTGCCTGCCAGTGCCTGTTCAGAAACACTTGCGCCGCGCTTCATCAGGGGGGTGTACGACAGTGTTGGTGGATTGTGGAACAACTGCCCGAGAAGAAGTTCCATCGGATGTGGGGGTCAAAAGTAAAGTTCGGTTTTATCATGCTTCGGCCTTTTTCAGCCCCAATAGCGTAAGTCACTGGTAAGTCTATGGCCTTTTGCTCCTGCACCTGATCTGCATAAGCCGGTCTTCATCACACCTGTTCTGTTCCGTTCGGACTCGAAAAATTGCTCGCCGCTTCAGGCTATGGCTACTGCCCCATCTACGCTTTTCAGGCTCTCGAGCCGTGTAACAGTGTACGGGACTCTTTTCCCGAGGTTCTCCTTAATGTTCAGAACAACCCCATAAGTTGAGTTGGCACACAGATGCAGAGCAGTGAACTGGCTGCCCTGGTTGTTTCTTGATGTTGGAAATTGCAGCGCACAAGATTTGCGTGCAGGTAGGTGCCAACCCATCTGCAGTGGGACAGGCAGATGCTGCCGGGACCTCGGCCAGTAGATTTGGCTGTTTGACTCCTTTACTTCTTCCAACAGGGTTTCGGGTGGCAGCTTGGCTATGATCTGCACGTGCCAGCAGGAGCAAATTGACATTCGCCGCTTTGATGTGTTCACCGAGCTCATTGGTGACGTGCGCCAAGAAACCCCATGTCCTTGCTTGAGACACGTCACATGAATTTTAGGTTTCCGCCAGAGATTCGAAGCGGAGGGATGCAAAGACTAGTTACTGCATGCCCTGCGCAAAATCTCTTGCCATCATTTGCTACTGCTTGGCAGTTGGTGGAGCGCTGTGAGCGCATCAGCGAGAAGCGGAGTCTGCAACGCTACGCTGTGGCTCTGAGGTTCGGAGGGGTCTGTACGCTGTGACGCTTGTGATCTCGTGATGCTGTGATGCGCAAAGACTGCAAACTTAGCACACTTCGGCTCCGGCTGTATCAACAAGGTTGCGGCGTTGTCGTTAATGCGGCTGTGAAGTGTAAAACCTGTCCGAAAACCCCATTTTTACCCATGTAATCCGCTGCAAATAAGAGTGTTCTCGTGCGTCGACGATTTTTGGACTTTCAGCAGTCGGATGATTTTTTTGAAAGAGTTCAGGCTACACGGCTAGGGACTAGCGGACAAGTGAGGGTTGAAGGTTGTGTACTTGTGTGGAAACGCTGGCATTTTCAGCGAATTTGCAGGCAGGTTCAGGGCAAAGTCGACTTCAGAAGGAGCCTGTTGATTCCTTGCAAGTGCTTAAAGCTCTCTCTTGGGAGCTTAGGGTTTGAGGTTCAGGGGGTTTGTGCTTCATGGCCTTAATTCTAGGCAAGGCTCTTGTGTGCAAAGACTTCCTGACAACCGAAGCATAACAAACCCTAAACCCTTGACCCGTAACCCTAAAGCCTACACTTTAAACCTTAGTCAACAATCCTAACCCCCGTAAACCTCCAGAAACCTCTAGAAAAGCTGAAGAACCTGCGTAGGATCGGTTTTTTCCGGAGAAGGGTCAAAGGAGGTTCAGAAGGCTTTCCATGTAAATTTGCAAAGATGGTGCATGGCGGACTCACTGGACATGCCGTCAACGGAGCAAGCATCTTGTCTGACACGCGAACGTTTCGGCTCAGTTCTCTGCTCTTAAGTAAACAGCCGTGGTCAACGTGGTGAACAAGACAGGCCGGCCTCGGTTTGTTGTGTCGGAAAGCCCGCTCACTTGGGCATTCAGCCCTTCGATAGGTGCCTGCCTTCTCTCCCGCTCTCTCTCCTAATCGGCGGGCCTTCTCTTTCGGATCCATGTGCCAGGTCTCCTTCCTGCCGACGTGCGTTATGTGTTGACTTGTGTCTTTGGCTCGGTGCAGGCCCATGAACCGCCTGTTGCTTCTGCCGCTGGTCGCCGTCCTGGCAGAGGCGAGAGAGCACGCGGAGGATGAAGAGTTTCAATAAGACGTGTTAGGGGAAAAGTTCGAAAAACACGTCAGCGAGACGGCAGGTGGATCCTGTGCCGCCGCCGCCGCTGCCAAAGGTCCCATGGGGTGTCATCAACAACTCCTCGACCAGTCCTGAGATTCCGGCAGGCCGCGCACAAGGAGGTCAGCCCATTCCAGGCACGTTTTCCGGTCACCGATTGAAACTCTCGCTCGGTACCAGCAGGAGCGACCCCTACAAGGAGCAAGGTATATGTACACGTATTCTACACACTTGTATATGATGTAGATTTTTGTCTGTATGTACACCTACATCTAGACCTAGAATCATATCTGTACCTACGTTCTCCTCTCATTGGCGCCTTCTGTTTTCACACATGCTAGCCTGCCGCAAGGTGAGTTACCCACCGCGTATGAAAGAAACGCAAAGACGTACACACATTCTTTCCTATATCAATGTGTGTATCTTTATCTCTACATGCATATATCCATTCGTTTTTGTTGTTTGTGTTCATACTTGAGCACTGTCAAGATTTTGCAAGCGCGCCCCCACCTCCACACATACGCAGTGATAGCGGCAGGCAAAGGTGGCAGCACCACTCCACGAAGCAGCCAGCCAGTTGCAGAATGCAGCCGAGAGCCCAGTTTGGAGACAAAGCCAATTGTTCTTAATTGATTGCAAATCCATCACCCTGTACATGGCTGTGCCCGAAAACCGGGTGTGCTACGGAAAACTCCCACTTGTGAACGGGGTGACAAAAGAGTGGAGTCTAAGACAGTCTTGAAGTCTCTCGTGGGCACAAGTACTTACGAGCGTGTACGTGCGCGCGTGTAAGCGTATGCGAGCGTGCGAGCGTGTGCGTGTGAGCGGGCGTGCGAGCGGTCGTGCGGGCGTGTGCCTGTGCGTGTGCGCGTGGATGTGCATGTGCATGTGCGTGTCACGGCTATGCCAAAACCACCAGACTGGGCCAATACCAATCTTCTCGCTCTACGCTCTCTGGGCTTGCATCATGTGAGTTTTTGATTTAACGTTGCCTCTTTTGGCAGCTGATCTGTGCGGAAGACATAGTCAGGTGGGGAGTTTGGCTGGGGCGGCACATCTGTTAAATGATAACGCAGGTGTCCTAAGGTAAGCTCAATGAGAACAGAAATCTCATGTGGACCAAAAGGGGAAAAGCTTGCTTGATTTTGATTTTCAGTACGAATACAAACTGTGAAAACATGGCCTATCGATCCTTTAGGTCTGAGAAATATTCAGCTAGAGGTGTCAGAAATCACAAGCTTGCACGCTCGCACGCACGCGCGCACGCTCCGCTCGCATGCTCACACGCCCGCACGTGCACTTACACTTACTTAAAACCCACATCAAAGCCCTATTTTTGCCGAACTGCAGGGAGCGGAACTTTTGAAGCGCATTGCGCTGTCGGTGGCTCGGCGGAGAGAAGCTCAAGGATTGTCGGTGGCTGAAGTTGGAGTGTACAAAACGCGCTAGGTGGCTATCCTTTTGTTTTTAGATGTTGGTAGCTTTTATCGCAGACTTGGCAGTCCTGAGGATAGACTGCCATGCTTCGAAATGCAATCATGGAATCTTAGCCATGCACAGCCAAGACAGGTATCTGACAAAGCCAATGAGGATGCAGCCTTGCCTCTTGGATGCAGAAAATGCGGCCCTAAAGCCCAAGCAACCTCATCTCCCCTATACCAGTCCATAGCGCAGCCCCCACTCAATCTCCATTTAAAGGCAACAAGTCAACTAGTAGACCAAGGGACCCAAGGGGTGCAGGGTTTAGGGTGACAAATGGCCTAGGACAACGACGATGCCTTGCCCATTCGATTCTTCAAGACACAGTAAAGGGCGATTCGAGGTTTCAGGTCGACGAGGAGGCTCAGGAGGAAAATCGTTACATAACAAGTGATTACGCTGAAAAGCAGGTGGCCGGGATTCTCGTGCAACGGCGTGACAAGCCGGGGGTAACAAGCCGGGGGTATTTGGCCATCACAGAAACGCATGCCCGCGAAGCTATGCCTGATGCAGGAGGCCGTGTTTGTACAAGTAGCAACCTCGCTGTGCATGGTGTGCAGTTGTTCATGTAGCATCGTCTGCTAGCTCGCACCATGGTCAAATAGCAACAGGTTACGACATTGCTGCAGAACATGACAGCGTGGTGGCCGTAAAGAAATATACCCGTGGTGGGGCACCTGGTGAATGCTTAGGATGGAGATGGGCTTCGAGCTGCGCAAGACGCTCGGCGAGGTGGGCCGCAGCTCACAATCAGTCTTCCTTTTGAAGAATTCCAAACGCGACTTTACTCTAATTCAAGATAGCGCAAACAAATCTGACAACACTCCCCCAAAGTTGCGGCAGTGGTGCGGCCTCGCGGCAGTTGCTGTAGCGAGACCCAGTTTCGCAATCGCTTCCGAAATTGTAAGAACGCTTAGTTGTGCTTGAAATTGTTTTTGTGGTGGAGCCAGGTCGTGCCTTTGCTGCTCCAAGCACGCGCAGCTTGGCAGAAAGGGGAGATAGAGAAGGGAACTCCAAAAAACGTTATCTTGGCATTGTGAGTTGAAGGATCTTTCGGGTTCTGGGGGTACGGAGACATGGCTGAATGTGCAGGTTTGCCCCGCTGCCAGTTATTTTTGCTGAGGCCAACAGCTCGGCTGTTGACATTGACGAGCGCCCTGCCAAAGCCTCCAAGGCACATCCAGGGATTTTTTTGCAGTGCAAGCATATGCCTGAGCTAAAGCTAAAGCAGCTAAACTATAGAACCGGTTAGAACCTTGTGAGACAAGTGTGAGGGCATCGGCCCGGAATGGCTCGGCAGTTGTAAGTCTGAAGGATTTTGAGGGATCTAAGAACAAAACCGAAGCCTCCTGAATCTAACAAATTTCTTAGCTTTGTTTTCGAGCCTGCCAGCGAGCCTCTCGGATCATCTAGAGGTAAGGTGACCTTAGTAAGGTGCTTAGCTGCGAGGACGACAAGAGTTGGAAGTTGTTTGCAAAGGTTTCTCAGGTGTCGGCCTTTGTCGGACATTCTAAAAACTGTAGGCCGGCGCGGCAAACACGCAGAAACTGCTGGAAGTTGAAAGTCTAGAGCTGGAGGGCAGCTTTCTGCACCTCGAGAACCGCGGTAGCCAAAGTCCACGGGTCACCGAGTGAGTGAAATGGGCAGGCAAAGATAGTGGAAGTGTCATCGGCCAGACTATATCGGCTTGTGATTGCTTTGAATGTCTCCGTGTTGGGGGAAGTCTTCTCCCTGATAATTGTACGGTTTGGGATGCACTTGTGAAGCACCTCGATGGCAGGCCACAGTTGCCCAGGAAGTCCTGCTCAAGCTCCAGGTGCCATACGAGAGAGAGCGAGAGAGAGAAGACGAAGAAGAGACATACCGTGACATGCCGCAAAAAAGCGGGAGACAAACAAAAGTCGTAAGAGGCTACGACATCCTCGATATGTGCTCTCGGTGCGTCCTAGATCAGGTCTACACCGACTGGGCCTGGCCTGTTCTCGACGGCTACTCGAAGAGCCTTGAGCCACATTATATCTTGATTTTGCAACGGGAAACCACTGGCAGGGGGCGCAAGACTTCCATGTCGCTGACACGTCGTTGGTGTCCCAGTCTCTTCGCTGTCATCCTTTCCCAGTTTGCTGTGCCCAGGGCGGCTTTCTCAGACGAGCCCATGCCAGCAGACATGAACATGAGCTGCTTGAAAGCATCTGGGGTAACTTTCACAAGATCATTGTGCATTGGAAGCTTGCGGTGCTTTGCCTGGAAATTCGATTTCCAATTCTCCTGCTGCAAGACGCGGAACAGAGCATGACTTTGGTTCTCCGCAATAATGAAAACGTCATGAGTCATGTCCGTGAAATAAGAGAGCCAGTGGCCCAGTTCGCTCAGGTTCTTCATGGTTCTTCTGTTCTTGTGAACACATATGCTACATGAC